GGACGGGTCTTGTACGGTCGTGTTCAGTAAGTGTAGTGGCTGGGGCGCGGTGCTTTCCAGTTCTTACAGATCCTAGCACGTCGGTCTGTCCCTAAAGCTGAACGCAAGCGTATCAGAAAATAATGTTCTTTTAGCGGAAGAGTAATATTGATGTAAACGAAAAATCATCCAGTTTTCAAGTTTATAAGATGTTACATTGAATGTAATTGCAATTATTGAATTGCCAGAGTCATTTCACGTAACGCAGAAAACTGCTCAGTGTCGGACTCATGTAACCGTTGGTTGCAAGAAATGAGGCCAGGGCACGCAAGATTTAACAGGCGTAGGCAGAGAGCAGCTGCTTAGCTGTCACGATATCGGAACGTGTCCTGACATTACAGTGCCACGACTTCAATGTGTTTGTAACGGTAATTGAAACGAACACCGGCTGTTTCTAGAGTGTGTATGTGCCTGATGCCCGATATTAGCTGCTGCATGAATGTGAGGTGAATTGGTATCCTGAAGCAAGACCAAGACGTCAGGAGTCACTCTTATCCATACTGTCGCTAAGGTCAATGAATTAAATTCAAATATTTTTAGAGAAGGAATCGAACTTGATTATGTCGCGTGGTAGGAAAATTATTTCATGATAACTTGAAGCACAATTTTACATAAATAGTGTGCGTGATTTTCAATTCTACTCGCTCGAGCTTAGTATTTTTGACTTGCATTGAGGCAGCAGATAAAAGGCATCTTATGAAGAGCTTATGGCCGCATATACCGGCCATAATGGACCTCATCATCGATAATAATTATACACGCTGAGGGCATCGAGAAAAACCAGGGTCTTGAGTAATTCGAGCCCCGAGATAACCGTTCGCGATTTTCTTTGACGGCTTAAAAACTTGACAGGCGTCTCAAGATTTGACGTAGCAAGAAGCACGAGAAGATCCACGCTGTCGTAATAAGACGAGGAAAAACTCAAACAAAATCAATTATTATTCGTTTGAGGTAATGTAATGATGGAGTCAGTAGAGAAAGTTTCATAGTAAATTTATTTTTGACATATATTGAGAGCGTATACATTCATTGCATATTCCATTCAGGATATTTCTTGGTGATTGAAGCGCAGCATCATCCTACCACACATCATCTGTAAGAAACCTAAGTTTACTGTTTTGTTCAAGCTTTTATTTTGTTCCTTCTCTCAGTAATTTATTCTAATCGATTTCATTATCAGTGTCTTAATGAAAAACAATGGATCAATGTAAACTTCCGCGTTCCAGCTTGTACTCTTAAGTTTTCTTAACATTTCTAATAAAATATTGCACCACAATACCATAACCGTCACCAGAATACGCAAGTCGTATTCGCGATTTTCGTAGCGGTCATGAGTTCTAACATTTTTATCTTAAATACGTTGACATTTAATGAAGCCAGCTTATGGGCAACTAAAAAAGAAGGTTAATTCAACAGTTTTGTTGGCAATGAATAAATCCAAGAAAAAAATTCGAGACCGATAACCATAAATTCTGACGACAGGTCATCGGCAGTATAGCGAAACTGTAGCAAGAGCACGGAATGTTGGGGGATCGTGCGGTTTGCTAAGACGGGCATCTTTTACTGTCCGGTAATTACGTGTCTCTGCGTCGGGTCGTACGTCGAGCACATGCAAGACATCTTACATGAGTGGGTTTTATTGAATCAGTCGTGCATTATCTGTTCGGTAAACCCACGATAGGTACTGACATAGTATTATTTATTGATAACTTCAAGCACATTCTGAAATATTTTGTTCAATTGTTTTAGTTTTGTCATTGCATCATTCTTAGAATCGTAGCTCTCTTGAAAATTTCTCATGTTCCACGACATTTTCAAATATTTGAATGCGCGTAATCGAATAAAACGCATAAATTTACGTCAACTGTATTTTTTGGGAAAATCATTCCGGGATAAACGTTAGTTAAAAGTAACTTTTTATGAATAAAATTTAAAATTCTTATTCGCACCGTCGCTCATGGCCGTTTAATATACTGATGAAAAAAATATTTTCATCAGTACAATACTGATGAAAAAACTTCATAATATTGAAAAATGTGTGATAATTTCTTTCTCGCAATCCCAATATACTAATTTTACCGGCTTTTTACAACAGCCCTACCTCAAAATCTAACGGTAGTTTACTGGTGAATAAAAAAATTCCCGCGTGTTAGTTAATAGCGCAATTCCAGATTGTCATTTCTAGGGTGCAGACGTGTAAGGAGGCCGCTTGTGCTAGCATAGCTGAGGGTCGAGCGGCAATAGCTCGCGCCATAGGAAATGTCTCAGTAATGAAGGGAAGTGGACGCTTAGGTGGCAATTTTCTGAGGCTTGCACAGGCAAAACTTTTCAAGGGCTCTTTTTGCTTGCTCCAACTGTGTGAGCTCTAAATAAAATTGATCATAATTTAGTCATATCTTGGTCCATAATTTCATGCGTGCGGAGTGAGCAAATAATATATATCCGTTTGCTAAAAATTATTGACCGACTGATCGTACGTATACGATCTTCAATTAATTTTTAAAAATTAAGAGGAATACTATCATGGAGCAAAAAACAACAGATAAAAATGAAAGTTTTCTCGATTGATTCCAGTTCCTCCCACTAAGCTATGCTTCACGAGTAATCCCCACAATTAAGGACAGTCGAGGATGAAGAGAACGACGAAATCTTGTACTTCGTAAAAATTGTCATTGAACTTTTTGTTGGTGATCCAAGTACTTGATGTTGTTCAGGATTTCCGCTGCACGTAATTCCTAATCAGCTTTCGAATAGACATTAAAGACAATACGTTTAGCTTTCCCCCAAGACAATATTTTCATGGAGGGAAGGTTTTGATGCGAATTGTCCAGCTATAAAATTATTGCGCAAACTGAAAAGTAAGAAAACCTTTTCTTAACTAAGCGAAATGCCAAGTTGGCGTTAGAAAGTCTGGTGACGAGTGGTTACATTCATCGCGGACGGTTTATCGCTTACCACAGAATGGCCACTGTTCGGCCAGTGATAATCCGCTTACAATTTTACATGGAAGCGATACTAAGCACGGTATATGAAGTAGCGGCAACGCCAGTCACAGTACGGCTTCAGATGGAGCTAGAATTGCTCGATGCATCCATTACCGTCCATCAATGATGATCGCGCGCCGCATAAGTACTGGCATCGAGTCCGTTATTCGATATTGCAGCGCTGTAAATCTCCTTGGAAACAAAGCTGCGTCCGCGACGAACATCTCTGCCAGCGCGAGTGTATATAGGGTAGGAAGAAAATCTTATTGACAGACAGCGTTGATTGCGACAAGAGAAGGGATGACCATTGCTCTTGTTCCAGATTTCTCCAGCAGATATTAGTTTGAAAGCTAAAAAACTTTCTACCGGAGCATAAAATTGAATTTGGAAAAGTTATTTGTTACTATCAATTAATGTTATTTATATTTCAGACTTGTAAATGAATCCAAATGCTCCAAACAACAAGAAACAAAGAGAAATAACGGAACATCGTTCAAAATCTTTGGTTATAGCAAGATATTTGCCAAATTATATGTGTGTTGCTTCAAATGCATCAAGCCTTATATTTTATGGACTATTCGCTAAGCTGCAGAGAACTATAATTTGGGGGCTGCTTTGTCGCTAGCTTGCAACGCATCATTGACTCTTTAAGTGTTCGCAAATATCATAAAAAACTGCACCGGCGTCTTGGTCGATCCTTCAATCGACGAGAAAACTTTTTGTTTTGACAGACAGGCGTCAAAATCCAGAGATATCGCTTGAAACTATTATGAATTAACGTAAGCCAGTTTAGTGTTGTCGAACTTTGCATTTTCTATCAAGCAGTAACTCGAAATTTCTTTCCATATAATAAGAACAATATATTAATAAAGGATATAGCATTAATAATTTGAAGGCACAGCAGCAGGACAGTTTTGTGGACAGTTTTTTGGTCACATGTGAAGAACCCACGTCTTATTAGTACAAGTTAAACTAAAATTTATTGACATATATTGTACAACCTTAAGAAACTAGTATTGAAGAAGATCTTAACCTTTGGAATAAAGTTGTTCCTCAATGCCTTTATTATAAACATGATGAGAATAATTTTCACGTCTAAAGTATTATTACGAATAAAACAGTATAATTAGTCGGTGAAAAGTACATAGAGTGTTCGAACTTTGCTAATTCACTTATCCGTCGTTCGGTATGGATTGAATGAAATAATAATCAAAGACTAGACTGTGAACTACAAAAGGCTGTTGTTGCTTAACGAGGCAGACTGCATCAAATGGGATAAATTAGTTGTATTCCTGAGCTCAGTGAGAGCATCCTTAAATCTACGAAGTTGTTCGTTCACCGAAGTGAAAGATGCGCGACAATATTTGCAAGCTTTCAGGGAGGCTTGTGGTTACGAGTGATTGATGTTTACTATTGCATTTGAAGAGAATTTCGTGCCTAGGCTGCACCATGCAGTCGTCAAGCATGGAAGCTGCCCAGCGCTCCTATCATAACGGTCCGGCGGTTTGTTCTTCAGGCTTTCATTGCAATTCAGGACCTTCCTTAATTTTTATTTGCTTCGAAATTTTACTCACCGATTTATTTGTTTCGAAAATTTGCTCTTCGATTGACGCGCATAAAAAATTTATTTCTGCCACCAATTCGCAATCGATGATTTGAAGATTGAAAAAACTATAATCTCTATCCAAAATCAGAGCTCAAATAAAGTTTTTACAAGTGTGAATTAAATTCCCATCCATCTTCTCATATCAGTTGAAATAATAATAATTGTAGAAAACTGGCGTTTGGGTGAAAGTACACACTTCCGAAATGCCATTAGTCGTAACACTTTTATTGTAAAGAATTGACTTTGGAAAAAATGTGCATCAAAGTTGATAGTGTTCATTGCAAAGAAAAAAAACTAAACCATGAAGATAAACATTGATTAAAGGGTATTCATATTACAATAATAAAACCGGGACTGCGCGGAGCACTCACCTCCTAAGGACACCGCCCAGCAGCGACGCGTTGAGGCACTCAGGAGGCGCGAGACGACGCTGTACCTCCGCCACGGTCACTTTGTACTTGGACGTCGAGGACAGCAGCGACAGGCGACCCGGCACCGAACAGAAGACGTCGTTGCCGCTCGGCATCGCGTTCAGCCCCATGCCTTTCTCGCTCTTCAGGCCTGGCCATCGAATGCGTGAGTTATTCAGGTGCTATAAAATCAGTGAGTAGAGGATAAAGAAATTAAGTTAACTAGTCGCGTTCAGCCCCATGCCTTTCTCGCTCTTCAGGCCTGGCCATCGAATGCGTGGGTTATTCAGGTGCTCTAAATCAATGAGTGAAGGATAAAGGAATTACGTTAACTAGATATCAGACCTGGTCAAAAATGATTGGGGGTTCGATGGATGAGTAGAAGTACTGATGATTTTGTTCACAGCATAAGCCTACAATTGGAATGCATTGAAATAATGATGAGAAAATAAAGTATAATTGATTATTTTTGCGAGTTCTAACGGCCTGTTAGCAATATCATTAAAGAGTATTGATAGATCTACAGGAGTTCAAGCTATCGACAACAGTAGTCATAGATGGATGAAATAAATACTTTTTTTAATAATCACTCATTTCGTCATCATAGTTCTTAGAAATAGAAGCTAAAGTCACTTCTTAGGTTAGAAATGGAAGATTCATGGCAATGTAAGTACAATATTGTATCGAAGTCGTTTGAATTAGTCAGATTTGAACCGGAAGTAACATTATACATCGATATATGCTAGAGAGTCAAGATCATGCCTAATGAACCCGATAATACGTATTATCATTATGCTGCAAAACTAATTTCAAGATATTTTAGACTTCAAATGGCTTCAGCCTCCTTACGATGTTCACAACGTGGAAAATCTCCAAAATCGACAATTTGTAACTTCAAAGCTATTGACGGCACAATGATGGCAATGTAGTTAAATAATTTATATTATATAGGAACGCACCAGGAATCAGAATGCCGGCTTAAGACAGAGCAATGTTCGTCAAAGCTCTTATGAACTGAACGCATAAATCGTTATCACCATTTGCTTTAAATGAGTTTAGCAGGGAAAATTATTACTCAATCTCATGTGAATACATTGGCCCGATGATATCAATTTTTCGATAAACGATTGTATATTAACTCAATAACGAACTATATAAGACAATTTTCGGTAAACCGAATTTCTAGAGATGTCCGGTTGAACACGGAAGAAAGCAGAATAATAACTGCAGCAGCTTTGGCCCAGCATGTTTCCTTCGTATCACTGATAATATCAATCGACTGCATATGCAGCTCTTGAGATAAAAGATAACACTGACTATGTCTTGCATTCTTAAAAGCTACGCACATATTGTGGTCATTGCCTTCATTTACAGTTGCACGTGAGAAATAATGAACAGTTTTGCATTGTTTTGTGATTGATTAGATGCATCTAGTGGATATGAGTAACCTCTCTAGTATTGCGCGAGAAATTTTAGATTCTGATTATTTTGTGTCACTTGATCTCTTTGTATACTTGCAACAAATTCTTGATCTGTAAAATACCTGAAAAAGAAATTGCCAGATAATTTTACCGACAGTAGAGTCTCTTAAATGGAAATATGCTTTGAATCTACTATTGATTTAGCCCAATTGTTTTAGAGCTACGGCCGCAGGAGCATTTTAAACTATAGTGGGCATTAGATAAAGTTGATTAAATTGGTTGTAAACGATCACCCGCCCTAGCCGAGATTACATTGGAGATAGCAGGCCTTTCAAGCGATTAATACATTGTATCCTCACAAGCCAAATCAATTTGTTGAGCCAGTCAAGTGGAAGGCCAAAACTGTATCAGAAAATTTGGCTTCCTGGAATTTCATGTTCGATCACTCGGCGCTGTCACCGCAGAGAGCGACCATGAAAGGCTGCTGTATATAAGAACAGGCCTCACCCAAACTAATAACGAAAAGCCATCTGTGTTTCTGATCTCTTATTTGCCTGAACGATTAGCATTTTTAAAGGGTTATACAAGCTCCAGGACTAAAATTAAATTTTTGAGTTAAAAAACTTAAATACCTGTCGCAAAAATCAATCTTATAATGAAAATAATAATTTTATATCGACAGTGAAATTAAATCTGTGTTATATCTGTGAAAATAAATTCATTTGATTTGGTTCCTTCATTTTATGGGTTTTTAAAATGGTAGTTAGAGATTACATGGATTCGGTCAAGTTGTAAAAAAGTCAACGCTTTGCCCAATTAATGATTTTTCGCCCCCATAGCTGCGCTTTCACGCACCCGTTGCTGTCGATAGAAAATAGACTTTGATTTTCTCCGACGGTTCTGTAGGAGACATAAAATTATCAGTTTAACGACGTGGCTCCTTGTAAGGAAGTTGCGCGCTATCGCAGACTGCCGTCACAATAGACTCGTCGTTTAAATGGGACCATGACAAGTCTCGCATTTAAAGATCATCGATTGAACCGGTCCATCTTTATGATAAAGCACCCTATATCTGTGGAGCCAACTGTGGAGGCTCAATTCAGTCTCAAAGGCGGCTAGCATGCCGGAAAAATCAAATGACAGTATAAACAGTCAATACATTTCAGAACTTATTATTTGCAGTAACTAGGCGGCGTCTAAAGGTCGACTTGTCTAGAGCATCACCTGAGGTGCGTAGCAACGAAGTGATTTGATATGAGGATAAATCTCTAAGCGACTGAGGTTCATTTCAAGCGCACAAGTGGCAGCCCCACATTATTATATCAACTAAAATTATAAAAAAGTTCACGTGTATGTAGATGATGATTTCATGTTTAGTAATTTTCTTCGCAAATCGTTTAACAATTCTGAAAGATTTTGGTGGAAGTACCTGAGATGGCAAGCCCAGTTTACGTATAGAAACTACTGTTATGAAGGGATTTTGCACACAATTAAAACTCAACATTGCTCAAAACTATTAGAAAGAATTACTTCTATTTGAAGTCAGCGCACATCGGCAAGTCACGGACAAGTAATTTATCTGAATTGCAACTCAACACGAACAATTTTAATTGAAAAAATAGAATTTCACAAGTTGAATTTTCCCAATTGTCTTTCTCAATAAATTTCTAAATGGCATAAATTGTAAAAATCGAGATATATAATCTAGTAATATCGTCGAGAATCAGCAAGTGTATGAAATAAAATAGAAAACTAGCGAGCAAAAGTCGGTGTTCTCGGTGGCCTGAAACGTTCGAGCGATCTGCTTCCCTTTAATTAAAATCTCAAAAATGTGAACCACTCAAGCAATGTGGAGGAGAGAGGCGGCCTACTTGCCAGGATATGGGGGGGCATAATCGGGTGGGAGATCAGCATCAGAGTTGGCACGCTAATCAGAATAATATTACTGGCTTTAATTAATCAGGTTTTTGCTTGGAAAATTATAACGAATCACAGTGTTTCTACAGTTGAAGGTTTTTTTAGTGGAAAAGAGGCCCATGTCGTTAGATTTTCTTTATAACTTTTAATAAGCCGTATGTAAAAATCTTGTTCTACTCGTGTGTAATACTATCGACCATAACAAATAGCATGCCATGAATGTTATTTAATAAAATTATTGACTACATATCTAGAAAGTTGTTTAATTACTACCGGCAATGAAGTTCGCAGCTTTACCAAAATTACTTAAGTTTCGAACATCAATTTGCAAATCAAGAACTTTACTTGAATCCCACAGCAATTATCTAAAAAATTTCTTGGATATTTCTCATTCAAATTTAATTCGATGAGAATGTATATTCGACGAAGAAAATCAACAAAAAGTAAAAGAAAAATTAACAATATGAACTCACCAAAACTGTCGTGCTTAAAAATGTCTCCGGTAAAGGTGCCTTCGGATTCAACAATGCCCTGTAGAAAAAAAAAACATAATTAAAACAGAACAGGAACTTCAAAAATTTTCTCACACTTATGAAGGTGATCTGTCATATTAAAAAATATATATATATGTCATGGCACTCGCATTGATTTCTTGGAATTGATCGAGCCGCTGGAAAAATACAGTCCGTTATCGTCGGAGGACCTTAGTCGGCCTTGAAAGTCTATTATTAGAATAGGCATAAGTTATTGTACGGAGTTACCAATAGTAATTCATTCTATATGTTCTCAAACTGTCACTAGTTAAAATATGTGGCGCTATTCAGTTACTGGTCATAGATGCGGAGGAGTACTCCCAACTATTTTGTAGCTCTCGATCAACTCTTGAACAATAGAAGCGATCGCAAAAGAGAAGTCGAGCTACGCAAGAAAGTGTTTTGTGTTCATAAATATAACTCATGCTTGCTGACAAAAGAAAGCCGTATTGAATTTGTCGAGCAGTTCATGACTTCAAGAGTAAGCGGAATAATAAGATGAGGTGCCTCTAAAGAACATGTGAGCCTAATTGCAGGATAACCTTTAAGGGGCTCCTCAAAGGAGTCGAGGCTCTACACCTGCGTCTTGTAGGATCAGTCTTGTAGGATCAGGGCTGTTGGTTCAGTCGCCCTCGTGAGCCAAAATCGTATTGAAGGAATTAAGACGCTAGTTCCGATATAAAGAAATTTGATCGAATGCGTATGTGTACGATGCTGTTTTGTTATGTTCGCCAAGAATTAACAATATTTATAAACGGACTAAGCCGAAGCCGATGAAAAAAATATTTAGAGCACCAATAGTGAAGTTTCATTTAAGTTGAAATTTTTCGCATTATTTACTGATAAAAGACGGAAAAATAAAGAGTTTTACGAAAAGTTCATAGCTCATGAAATAATAAGGGGTTGAAAATCTGAACCAATTTACTGCTTGTTCGTAATTACTGTTTTTTGAGCGTTGCTAAGGAAAACATTGTTGATGGAGCTCGTCGCGAACTTTGGTAAGCACCATCCTTCGCAATGATTCGAAACATGGAGCTGACAATTCAGTTGTGCACCGAATAACTGAAGAACTGTCGCAACTTGATGTTGGAATTCAAGTTTTCCTTAAACATTTGATATTCGCCGATGTCATGTGATATTTAAATAACAAGTAGCTAGCTTATTGGAAAATGAATGTTTCGATGAGCTCGTTTTACTATAGATTTTTCTTTATCTTGCTGGGAAATATGCAGTTTCAGCTCCTTGTATGCGTTCGACACTACTATAAGGCGACAAAAATCAAGGTTTTACTTTGGCAGGTTAGATTGTTTCAGTGTCAAAAATCGACGAATTTGTATACAATAGCTGGAATGGATTCAAGTTGAAGAGAAGCCTACACTAAAGTATGATACGAGGTTTGTAAAACAGAAATTAAATCTTGTTTGCAGTTAAAAATGAAAGTAATTAATAATAATACGATGGATAAAAATAGTGAAAAAGTTACATGCAAATAAATTGAACTGATTTAATACAAATCAGTTCAGTATTATGAAATATTGAAAAAATTGAATAAATTGATTAACATATTCAGTGACATTGTTTTACCACCAATATAATGCGAATTTATGTTCTTAGCACGTATAACTTGGCCATTTGATTTCTTATGATCATGAGTAAATAACCGTTGAGTGACTAGAATTGAAAAAGTTTAGTTCATGTTAAAAAAAAAACAAAGAATATAAAGAAAGTAAAAATTTAAATTATGTTCAAATGATGGTGATTTTTTTTTGTTTTAACAGTCAAGTTATAAGTGGATAATTTTCATTAAGACTTAACATTAATTAATACCCGATTTGAGTTACCAATAACCGACCAAAATGGATTAGTGATTAAAAAAGATAAACGATTTAATTTTTGCACGGCTTAAGATAAATGCAAGAAAAAGCAATTATTCTGACCGCAAGCACAGCATCCCACGATCTTGCCGACTCCACTCGGCGATATCCTCTGGTAGCTCCCATTATGTTTCCACCACCACCACCACCACCATCACCTCCACCACCTCCACCAGTCCCAACACCAGTCTGCTCTTCCACAGTTTGGCGTCTAGGATCTATAGGCTGGATGAGAAGAGTAGGTAGGGTGGGTGTTAGTTAACAGAGATTGAAGGGCATGGCGGTGGTTAGTTAATCCCTGGAAAATAAATAATGAGGTTGGGATCAGTAGTCCTGTGTACTATAGGTTAATGATATCAAGTGTCGTAGGTAAATGAATATAAATAATGAGTTGGGATCAGTAGTCCTGTGTACTATAGGTTAATGATATCAAGTGTCGTAGGTAAATGAATATAAATAATGAGTTGAGATCGATGGTCCTCTAGGTTAATGATATTAAGGGTTGTATGTAAATAACCGATAAGATAGATTGTTGAAAAAGAGGTTAGCCATGCAACAATTAATAGAGAGTACTGCTGTGTCCAGTGAGATGCTCATTTTCACCACTTGTCCCTGAACAACACATATATAAAATTGTTAAAGGTCGCCGTGATTTTCATCTTTGGTTAAAACTAAATGTTGGAAATGTTAGATTGAAAAAACAGGCAGCTAGAGTATAGAACTTTTATTGTGTTCATCTCTTATTTTGATGTAAAAAAATCGAGTTTCCAAAACATATACTACCATAAATTGAAGCTAAGCAACTTTTTCGATGCTATGTATGGATATTGTAAAGATGAAAAAATACGATAAATTAATCTAGGAAGATGTAATTCGACAAAAAACACCATAAAGCACCATCATGGAATCAATAGGAGTTCACATTCGTTGCATCAACAATAAGCAATTAATCTCTAATCCACTGTATACTTACTTCTTGGAAGAGCTTCTGTAACTTACCAATAATATACCAATAATTATATTAATTAATAACAGAGAATTTAGGATTAATTGCAAAAAAATCGTTTATTTTATGATCTGAATGGTTGAATCTCAACTGCCGAACACTTTCAATCGAATAGTGTGATAACATAATAGAAAAAAAGTTTCTAAATCTCTGTAGTAAGGGTTTGGGGTCGCAAAAGATTAAAATGCGATAAATTAATTACTGTAGAAGCAGTATGATCGCAAACAGGGAAAAACTCGCATAAAATTTGGTGAAATCCTCTCGCTTACAAATTTCCTTCAGAGATGCGAGCAGCACGAGGGTGCGAAAACGGGCCCTTATTTGTAGATAGCCGTTGGTAATTCAGAACCGTAATGTCAACCGCAGCAAGTCTACAAGAAATAACTCAAAGCTCAAGACAGCAAGACATGAATGTATTTGTTGCACCTCCACTAAAATTGAATATCTCGCAGAGGAAGAGCATGACGGGCCAAGATTTCTCTGGCACGCGATATATTTGCAATGTGGTAAGCGATGTGTGTTGGTCACACAAGGCGGGCTGGGGCTAGCAGAGTCCGGCAAGCGGCAGCAAGCGTGACACCAGCTGCGAGTGTGAGGGATCATTTTTACGCGAAATTAGTACTTTGATAACACATAACATATATTTCAGCGTTTTCTGTTCTGAACCTCAAGAAAAAAAGAAGCCGGAATCCGAACTACCTAAAATTAAAATTCAAATGCTGAGTGATCTCAAGTTGGTATGATCTCAAGTTTGAAGTTGATTGGTCAATTGCGATGGAAAAAATTTTTTTATTAGGTTTTTATTTATTCAATGACATTGGTTTTCTAGTTATTGGGCTAGCATTGCATGGTTGGAATAGTTAATAGTTTCAAACCAATTAAATTGAGGTTTTTGTTTGGCATGTAAAATTATTATGAATTATTGCACTCGAGTAACGTCAGCCTATGTTTCTAACTCAATTGGATAAGCAGGTTACATATTTCTGTTAACCGGGCATTTTATTTAAGACATTTCATTCAGTTTTTAGGGCTTCATTTAGGGACTGTTAGGTGACCTGCAGTGAAGCATGGCGTAGGTGGTATGATGATGCTAGCCCTGCTATAAGGAGACAATACTGGTTAGCTCCAGCGAACCATACAGCGCGTCTCCGGCATGTCAGAACAAACATAGTTTTACCGGCCAAGAGACGCCTCGCTGCCCTACGACAACTCCATGTTAAAGCTGAGCACACCAACGAGTCATAAAATATCTGGACTTGAGGCCATGCACGTTAGGGTGCTAAAACGGACCATCCTCCAAAATGCAGGAATGAGAAAATAATTTGAGTACTGCAGTCCTTCGGTTGGAGAACAAACAGAGTTTGCGAACAACTCGTTCTCTTGCTCGTGGTTTTTTTTTTCTGCGATTACAGATTGTCGGGTGTTGATTGGACCTGCAAATACATTTAGTCAGCACAGTACATGGAATTGGTCCCTCGTGGCTATTATGTTTTTCTGGTGTCTAGTGCGCTGTGCTCGTGCCAAACCTATCAGATTTATTGTAAACCCCTGAAATAAGTGCGTTTTACTAGGTATTGTGACTTACTCTTATTTTTTTAACATCTGTTTCTACATTATTCCCCCTCCTCCAGCCCCGGACCCGCCGGGCTTGTCCCAGCGGGCCAAGGGCACAAATCCTTCACGGCCTTTACAACCTTCACCCTCATCACTTCATCCACGTTCATCATCTTCCAAACCACCTCATCAACCATCAACGCAACCAGTCCCCTCGAAACCACAGACCTGCATGATTCAACTTCAAGAAAATAGACCCTAGACTGCCAAGTGACCGACCTGCCATATCCCAAACAACCTTTGGAGACCTCAACGCCCCATTAATAAGACTCAAGGACACTGCGACCGGATTCTACGCTGTTTCTGATGACACCTACGCCATTGACAAATTATTGACCTCAAAAAACTACAGAAAGTAAAATAAAAATTCAGTAAAATCAATCTGCAACTCACTATCACCCTAGACCTCCGATCCAAAGGAACTATATTTGTTTTAAACAACTAGACAAAGACATAGGGAGGAAGACACCAACAGAAATAAAAGACGAAATCACACGACTGCACAACTGAATTCATATGCAAGACATAATCAAAATCAAGGACTACACCCATGTTATAAAAATTATCACAAGTGATACTACCATAGGACAACACATTCTCAACGACGGCTTTTGCATGTTCAATACTAGAATCACACCCACGATTCCCCCTTCACTCCCTCATAGAAATCAATTATAGCCCTGACGAGTTCTCCCTCATCCCCCACTCAGCCCAAACCTAACCCATAAACCCAGACAACCAAATTATGCGCAAGAAGAGATCTTTATCTCCTACTGTCTTCTATTTCGTCTTCCTCTGTCTAGCCACTCTGTGCCACCTCTTGTTTTTTCATCACTTACCTTGTGGCCCCGCACCACCACCACATGGAAATGATTTAAGTTGCCCGAAAGTATGGGACGACGGCGTAAATTAAAAGATCGAGTTAGAACCTAAATGCTTTAGTTTACCACAAAATTAACCGCTGGAATTTCCCCATCCCTCGTTAAATTGATGGCACCGTTAGAGATATTTGTTCTCTAACCAATGAATGACTCAATGCAAATATTGTTATTCACGAGGGTTTACTTGCAGGACCAGGCGTTTTATTTTTACATGCGAATAAAAATACAACGCTTTTCCTTGTGCTTTTTTGTGCTTTTTCCTTGTAAAGCCGGTTTTTTCTTTTCACAATCTAATTTCTTTCTGATGAAACGTCTTTCAACTCAACATCTTAAATGAAATTTTTAGTGGACTGTCACTAAGAAAGGTGAAAGTCGATCTGGTGATTCATATCAAAACTCGTGGCAAGCTTTCATATTTAATAAGAAATAGTTTTAGTTAAGATGATACAGGGCAAGTTAGTCGTAAAAATTGAAAAGAAACTTTAGCGCCCCACTGAATAAATAAAAGTGGGAATAAAATGAAACAAAACGAGTAACATTATTAATAATACTGTTTTCAAAGTATGCAATATACAACGTTTTCAAAGAATTTAATGAATAAAGTATTCAAATTATTTAATTAATAATATTTCCATACTATTAAATAAATATTGAATGTGATTAAGTGACGGAGCGTGAGCTTATGCTTGGCTGCACTGGGAACGAAATATTCGGTGCAATTATACTGGCAATGCCACGGTGGTCCACTTAGCCGTTGAGAACCGCAATTCTTATCAGCGAGTTCCACTGATTCATCGATGCTACATGCATGCTTTGCACATTAATTGCTTTCCAACGCGATGAAAAGATTGATGTTCCATCATCGACTGCATCTTGACGACTCCAACAAAGTGGTATGTCTGTATTTGCATTGCAAGTTTGACTACAGAAATTGTCTACATGAGATGAATGAGATAAGATCATATTCGACACTTAATAAATAGCTTTGAGGCCTGCGCAAATAACAAATTGTTGTACATTTAATAGTACGAGATAGTTAATGAAAAATTTGTGTCAACGCGGCTATTGCTTGAGGCATAATTCACTGTAATCATCAACACAAAAGCCTTAAAGACTGACGGTAGTTAATTAAATGACTGTTGAACTAAAGCTGGCCACGGAAATTCGTCTGCGCATCAGCTGGGCCCATACTTTCAAAAAGAGTTAAGAGATCGTAAGTTCATTAGCCAATCATTGATGGCCTTTCAAGCAAAATCCACCAATCATAGACAAGAAAATAGATCGTAAGTACTTACGTTTACTTAGCGAATTTGGAAAGTATGGTCCCAGGCAGGCTGGAAAGAGCTAGGGCAGGCGGGAGTTTTGGGTAGGCGCTTACAAGCTGGAGACAAATGGGATCTCGTTCAGCGGTGGGTGTGCGGCTAAACAAGGCAAGCTCGGTTAAATAAAAGCTCTCGAGTTGAGAGCGCCACAGACAAATGACTCGAGTCATGGGTGGTCCGAGACGCTCCTGAGAACTCAAACCAACCATAAAATTGTACAAGGAGTCATCTCGGATGCAAAGAAGCAACAGAGGACTTCAGTCACGATTTGTCGACGGTAATTTGAATTTGGCAATATGATAAATGTTGGCTTGCTGGAGATGCGCGAGTTGAATAGGTTAAGCTTCGGTGCAATGAAGCCCGTACTTAGTAATGTATGAGTATAGGTGTCGACGAACCGGT